TTAGAGACATCATTAACACAGCAGCAATGCTATGTTCCATAAAGATTGAGAATTCCCCAGGCCTGTGCTGAATGATTTCTCTCCACGACATGCACACCATGTTTTTCTCTGGTTTTCCATTCAGCTCGTGTGGCTTTTACCAGTTCCCCTGGGAGCCTCCAGCAAAGCCCAATCTCTGCATTGTTCCAAACATTTCCTGATATTCAGCTGCTTCTTCCTTCTATTCATGCCCAGCAGAATTGTGCTCCTGCCTGGCTGCACCCTCGATTGTTTGGGGTGCTCCCAGCCCTTATAAACTGGGAGGTTTTGCTGTCAGAACACAGAATAAATTCCCTGATTTCTTGTGTCCTTGGGATTTGTTGAAATTTAATCTCCCTCCTGCTCCTGCCTAGGAACAGCAGCCAGCCCTGGGCATGTCCTCTTTGGTGTCTTCTCCCTTCATTTCTGCCCTGTGGTGGCTCTTCCCACCAGGCTGGCTCTCCACCCTTCCCAAATTTCTTGGTGAAACTCATTTTCCTCCAGGAAAACACCAGGACTTGCTATTGTCACATTCCAGGTCCAGCCCAGGAAAGCTGTGAGGGATGAAATGTGGATATGGGAGCTCCTGCTGGCACTGTCAGCTCAGGTTGGGAGGGACCCTAAGGATCACCCAGTCCCAACCCCTCTGCCACGGGCAGCATCACCCTCCAATCCACTATCCCTGCCTAAAATCCAGGATCCACCATGCCTGGAATAGGAGCAGTCACCAGCATTCAGGAAAAAAACCCCAATAAACCAATTCTACTTATCCTGATTTTCATTAAAACCCTGCTCTGCAGGATGGGAAGAGCAAGGGAAGAGTTTCAGTGTCCCCTTGGGCACAGTCAGGAGGCTGCAGTGTCACAGCTTGGGAATCAGGCTCTGCCCAGCTGGAGTGGGCAGGCTGTGCTGGAAAACACCTGCTCCCTTTGCCAGGGATAAGATTTCCGAGTAGCTGGATCCTCCTGTCAAAACAACAGTGTCCATTCCCACTGGGATCTGTCCCTTTGAACTGGGGAAAAGGAGCCAACAAACCCAGATCCCACAGAAAATCCAGACATGGGGACTTTCTGAACTCATTCTGGAGAAGAGAATAACCAGGAATTTCTTTCCTGGATGTGATTTCTGCAGGGGGACACCATGGCCTTGATGTGGTCACACTTGGAAATTGCTCCATGTTATAGGAAAGATGAGGAATGAGTGAGAAGTCTGCAAAATTAATCCCTTCTCCATCAACAAGAGAAATTAAAGGCTCTGAAATGACTTAGACAACCTTGGAAGAGCCAGATTAAATTCCAGTAGGACATGGAAAGAAAAGGACAGAGGAGTGCTGGAGACTGGGAGAGGACTCTGTCAGGAGAGGTGACTCTCCTGGCTTATTGGGGATAAAATAAAAACAAAGATTGAGAACAAAATGTGAGGTTTGGAGGGATAATCAAGCCCAGGCCGTGGTTCCACCAGAAGTTTGGATTTGCCTGGCCCAGCAAGCAGCACACATTTTTATTTTACCTTTTCCCCAATTTCAGCAGCTCATGATCCTGCCTTTGCAAAGTGCATTAAATCCAGAAAGGCCCAAACATTTGGAGAAGAAATATCTTGGCATCTATTGGCAAAAAGTTCTCCAGGATAGGAAAGTAATGGAACGTTAAGTGCTGATAAATAAACAAACTGAGATTTTTAAATGAGGCCTTTTTAAAATTGCAAGGGGACAGCTTCAAATGGGCACTTCCCTTTTGTTTTTCTTCTTTGCCATCTCTCTGCAGCACTTAAAATTATTTAAAAATTCTTCTAAATGCATATTAAAAAACCCCAAAACTGAAAAGATGATGCTTTGCACTTCCATTTGATTCCAAAGGGATTTTTAGTTGCTATGTTATAAAACTTTTCAAAAAAAGGTTTCAAATGGAAGCCCTGACAAACCATGGAACATTAGGAATTCTGCAGCATTAATGAGCTGTTGAAGAGTCAGAGAATCACGGAATAGTGGAGTGGTTTGAGCTGAAGGGAGCTTGAAGCTCACTCATTTCCACCCCTGCCATGGGCAGGGACACCTTCCACCATCCCAGGCTGCTCCAAGCCCTGTCCAGCCTGGTTCTGCTCAGGAATTCTCCTTTAAAATCTTTTCCAGCACCAACTTTGGTTTTTGTAAAGTGATATTTTTTCTCTTTTCTCCCAGGAAAATGCCACTGTTACTGATCTTTTCCTTTAGTTTTCCTGGAAAACCCCTCAATGGAACAACCCATTCAAACACACTCAAACCTTTTGGTTTAATCACCCCAATAATGATCCTTTGGGGCCTCCCAGACACTAAACATTATTCCAAGGAGTTGTGTGGTCCTAAAGCTGATACTTTAAAAGTGTGAGACCTTCAGAAACTGTGCCACAGGATAAGAGAGAGAGACAGGATATCATGAATGCATTGCAGACAGGCAAAAAAATTCCAATTTGAGGCACAGAGTTGAAGTTTTGGGCTCAGGGGGGTACCTCCTTCCCCAGGCAGGGTTCCTAAATCACTCAGATGCCACCAAGCCACCCCTGGATGCTCCATTTGTGCCACAGCAGCCTGTTCATGGATCCTATGGATGGCAAGCTCCATGGAAGCATCAGGATGAACCAAAGCCATGCAATATTTAAGGGCCAAATGATAAATGAGTTCTGCTGGTGCAGGAAAGAAGGGGGGAAAAAAGGAGCAATAAAGGAACAAATTTAATGCTTGATCATGTATTAAAGTGCCAGCTGGATTGGGGTTCAGCTCTTTGGCTCCTTGGAGGGCTCCTAAGTGCCCTGAAGTAGGAAAATTGGCACAAGAAAGCCTCAATTGACTGAAAATACTCAGCAGGTTTGACAGCAGAAGAATTAAGTGTTAATCACCGGGAAATGTAATATGCTCATTTTCCAGGCAAAATTATCCCATAAATTCAGGTGTTCCTGCCTGGCTGAAATCAATGGGAATTGCACATCCTAGTCCTAAAGCCACTCCAGCACTGACCCAACCAGAGACAGCCCAGAAGTGTCATTTCCATGGGGTTTCTGTGCATGGGCAGCAAATTCTGCAGAGAGGGGGGTAAAATTTCTGCTCAGAGACATTGTGCCTTCTCGGCTTTCCAAGAAGATAACAGCCCAGTTCCTCTTGTTTTCCAAAATAACTGCAGATTATTGATGTCCTGCCAATGTTTTAACAAGGAGAGTTCACTAAATCCCACCCTGTCCCAAGTCTAGGACGAACACCATGGGATCAGGGTGGGGACACCAAGTGGGTTGTGCAGAGATGAAGAGCCCAGGAGTCTGTTCCTTGTTTTTCCATTTTAAAGCAAACACGTTTCTGTAACTGGAACCAAGAAGAGAAGCTGCCTCCTCCTTTCTTCGTGTTTGGCAAATAAACCTCTCTTAAGGGCACTGTGTTGGAAATGTTTGTACTTTATTATTTAAAAAAAAAATACACAGAGTGGGTTGATAGCACGACATTTGGCCTATTTAGGAGAAGGATAAAGGCATCCACGTATTCCTTGGAGGGCCTTGGAGGGCAGCAGGAATATATTGCTCTGGGGATGTTTTCTTTCTCATCAGTACCAAAAATTCTATGTTCCATAGGGGAAGAAGTTGGAATTTTAGTTTTTTTGTGTGATCTCTACAGGTTAGAGAACAGCATTATGGCTCTACCTACAGATTGCACTTTTCCAGCTGCTAGTTTTGGCCGTAGCAGAAAAAATGCTCCTATAAAAGAAAAAAAATCCTAAATCAAGTGGTGACTGAACAACCTGCTCACTACAACTTCTGGATTTAATGGCAACCACGGATGGATACAAAGCTGGGAGCACTACAGTGGTTTAGAAGGATGAACTCCACAAAGGGCATAAATCCCATTCCCAATCCCCTGTAACATTTTAAGGAGTTGTTCTCCCAGCCCTTGAAGCTCCCAACAGCTGAAGACTTTTGTCAGGAGAGTTTAATTAAACCAATAACTCCGGAGAGAAAGCAAACATCCCAGCCAGGCACAGCTGCCTGGGTCCGTTCCAGCAGCAGCAAAGTTGGCACAATCACCACATTCTGCCTAAATTCTTTAAGAGGCACAGAAGTTTTGGGTTAAGATTTATGCTGTGTTTAATCTTTAAGGGGCCATCAGCCTCCTCTCTAATGGGTTTGCCCAGCCCGGGTAGTTTTGAAGCTCAGACTCAAGATGTTAATCTGGGGAAAGGTTTCAGTGAGCTCATCCTCATTTGTGTCAGAACACCCAGCTCCCGGCATCGTTGTTTCCCTAAAAAAAAAGCTTTCAAATGCCGCGGTGTTGGTCAATGGGTTCCCACTGGGAGCTCTCATCCTCGCATGAGAATGGGTGTGAAAATCAGCCACATCTCCCCAGGGATCAGCATTTCCATGCAGCCGCCTGAAAATGCCCACAAGCCACGAAACTGGGTTTCTGCCGAAGTTTACTGGTGATACTGGCAGGATTCCCATCCTTCTGCCAGCCCCGCACTCAGTGGCAGCGATGCCTTTGGCCACTCCGCCACCATTCCCCCACACCTTCTACCTCTACTTTTCCTAAACAACTAAAATGGATTTTTGCCCATCGGGGGCAGGAAACATCTGCACCGCCGGCGCTCTCACTCCGAATCCACGCTCCTGTTTTTTTGTGTTTCGTTAAACCGAGAGCTCGCAGAGGCTCAGGTTGAGCAGCCCGGAGCTGCTGGGCTGTTACATGAGATATTCAGGAAGTTATTTGCATGGAGGGGGATAAAAGCCTGTGGCAGCAGCGGGCTGCGCTGCAGAGGCGACTCAGCCACGGTGGCCACCAGCCCAAGGAATTACATCCACGCCAGCTTCACAATGAGTTGTTTACTGGCCTTGGCTGCCTGTGGGAAGAGCCAAGGAGAGCGGAGGAAGAGGAGAGACAAACACAATGCGAGCGAGACGCGTTAGGGGGGAGGCTGGGCTTTAGCAGCAGCCCCGGCATTTCAGCCCTATGGAAGCAGAGAGGGCTGAAAAGGGAATAAAATGAACCATCCACCGCCTTGCTGCTGCTGCCAGAAGAGCCTCGTCCCTACCTGAAGGGCTGGTATCGAAGGTAAGAGGGGGAAATAAGCAGATTTTAGGCAGAGGGCAGATTCACCGCGCGGCTCTCGGGGGCAGCTCCCAGGCAGACTCCAGCCACGCTTCTCCGAGTATTTGTAATTATGGCCCTGGAAGAGCAAAGCTGAGCGGTTTTCCAGCAGGAACCCAGCAGCTCAGACTGTTCCACTCAGCTCCTCTGAGAAGATTTAAAACAAAACAACAACTCCCAGCCTAACAAACAGCGCCTTTCTAAATCTGCCTAGGGAGATATTTGATCTTTTATTTTCATGGCCAACTTTGCTCTGCAGCTTCCTAATCTTACCCAGTGCTTCTTCTCAGCTCCCCCCTTTGCTCCTCACTTTTTTTCCCCCCTATTTTTTTTTTTTTTTTTTTTTTTAATTGGAAGGCAAAACAATTACTGCCGCGGGAAGGAAAATCCGAGCCTTGAGGAGCTTTTCCCTGCTCGTTCCCATCGGGCTCTCTCTCCCAGGCTGGCTCTCCCTAATTGCTCAGGAAATCCGCGCTGCTCATTGTCGGGCTGTCCTTAAGCTGCTAATTCCGAACTGGGAGAGGCTCTGGAAGGGAATCCATGGATAGAGCCCCGCGAGAGGGACCCAGCGGAGACCCGGGGCGGGGCGGGCTCCGGCGTTAATAACACATCCCTGCCCAATGGAAAGCGTTTCCTATGGAGACCCCCAGGAGTTCCCCCTGCCCACAGCCCCTGCCCAGACATTGGGCCCATTCTTGCGTCCCGTTTTCCCAAGACACGATGGCAGCAGCGCTCGGCAGCCCCGATCCCGCTCCGAACAAAGGCCGGGCAGCTGCCACCCAGCGCGGAGTTTGAGGATGAGCGGCTGAACTTGCACAAAGTGGGATTTTTTTTTTTTACTTATTTTTTTTTTCCGCGTGGGAATAGCCAGGCTCGTGTCCCAGGGACACAAAGGATCGCTGCGGGCTGTCAGGGAGCGATCCCGTGGAAGCACCGAGCCGTGGGAATGGTGGCGGTCCCGGTAAGTCCTCCCCGTTCCCGAGGCAGGAAAAGCCGCCCGGATTTCATGGCAGCTCCGGGTGGGGAAGGTGAAGGCTGGGATGGATGTGGGGGATGAATCCAGGCGGGTTTCGCTGCGGATCAGCGGTGTTTTCCCTCCTCTGGCAACTCCCCCCTGCTCCAGCCCTGCCATGGCTGGGGCTGCTTCAAGGGAGAAAGATGAGCTCCAAGTTTTGGGGAAGTAATTCCTGTGTGAGCTGCTCCTCCAGATTGCATGGAAATTATTCTAACTCCCATCGTAATTCTCCATTCCCATCGAGATTCTGGTTGTGGCACTGCAGGTGACAAGTTTAGGACTTTTCTGTCTTGTTGTTCTTGTGTGTTTGTGAGAAGGATCCCTTGGTTACAGCTTTCTTTTGTACTTGAAGTCAGTGTCATGAAAACACTTTAGGCTAAAAATGGGTTGGATATAAGTGTGGCATTCACCTTCGTTTAATGGAGGGCTGGTTCCCATAAACGATACAAAAAATTAGGAATTAGGTTAAAAATGTTATACTGAAAACCTTACAGATTTGATTTATCACTTCAGCTTCCATTCATGGCTAAAATCTACTCCTTTAAAACTGCAAAATTCAATGAGAAAAATTCAAGGACAGCTCTAAAAAAACGGGTGTCTGAAGAAAAAATGAACTATTTAAAATTTAAAGATTTGGCTGTTTGGAAAAGAGAGAGGATTTAACACAATATAAGTACTTGGTAGAAAAACTTGCAGGAAAAGTTTGGAGGTTTTAATGACATTCCCAAATCATTGTTTGAGAGGAGACAATTGTGTGTGGTTTTTGTGTTGCTGCCCTATAGGAGCAGCACAGTCAAATCCAGAGGATGGGAAGTGCAAAGTTCACAGCTCGGTGATAAGGACATTCCCCCCTTGTAGTACTTTTCCATCTTCTTGCCCTTAGGAGCATTCTCTAAAAACAAAACAGGCAGGAAACCCTGGTACTTTGGGGGGTTCAAAGCCTCTGCATTTTAAAAGAAAGTCCTGAAACACATAGGAGGGAGGAAGGGGGTGGGAGAGGAGGCTGAACAAACATTTCACTGGAATCCTTTGAGGCTAAAAATGAGGATCCTCCTCAACCGATAAAAATCGATGTGTCCCAAATTCCTGGTCAGGAGCTCATCTCCACACAGACAAACTGAACAAATGCCCCGGTTCCCCACTCACCTTCATTTAGAGCATTGCATTGAGGCATAAAACTGCAAAGCTGCACCTGAGGAGGGGTTGCTGAGGAGCAGGGATGGAAACATTCCCTGGGCAGGAGAGGATGCTCTCCCAGCTGGAGGATGGATCAGTCCTCCAGCAGTGACCTCATGGCTGGAGCACAAGAGCAGGAATTAAAGCAGTTTTATCCAGAGTTTGGGACAGGGTGCACTGTTGGACGTGGCAAAGCAATTTGGGATTCTGTCATTGTGGCACTTGGAGCTATCTTGGTGGATGTCGTGTCCATGATCCATCCCTGCCAGCTCCCCCTTAGCTTGCTTACAGCAGATTTGGGATTTGGGGTTCTATTTCCCAATGTCTGAGTGGTACTGGTCAGGGCTGTGTGGCTGGAGTGGCATTCCCAGCCTGTCCCAGGTGTTCCAGGATCCCAAAGGAGCAGCAGGGACCCATCCCTGCAGGCTGGGCTGGGTGGGGGTGGCTCCTGGAGCACTCAGCCACCCTCAGCAGGTCTTTCCAGGTCAAGCGTGCGTGCAGAGCCTCACTCTGCTCCTCCACACGTTGCTCCTCCTCCCTAAATAAGGATCCGATTTAGTCCAGGGGAAGGAGAGCCACCACTTTCCACAGAAGGGAAATTCTCTCCCTGAAAAGAGGAGCTCTTTATTCCCAGAGCAGACAGTGGCTCTGCAAGGCTTCCTCCTGCACCAGCTCCCAGTTCAGCCCCATGAAAAGGGTAAAGATCCACCCTGCTCCTGAGCCAGGCCTGCCTGAGCTGACCCTGGCTGCAGGAAAATTTGCTGGATTATTTGTCATGGTTTTGGTTGGTAGGAAAAGGAAGATCTCTTTATCTTGGCAAGTGAAATTAAGGGACATTCATCAGTCCCTGAGTCCTGAGACAAAGGTGTGCTCTGGCAGCAGAGCAGATCCTTTCTCTGGTCAAAACACGAGCTCATCAGGCTGTGAGACCTTGTGATGCTGTAAATACACAGCCACAACAGACCTCTTCTTTTCCTCTAATAATATTCTCATTTTCATTTCTTGCTGACAGCTCACCCTCTTCCTCCCCAGCATGTTTTACAGATGGACATAACCATATTTAGCAGGAAAAGCAGCATCCAGCCCTTGCACGATGCCAAAAGATCATTGCCTTGCCCTCGTCTCATCATTAGAAATCTGATTTCTAGGAGGCTTCACTGCAGAAGCATTGCTGGCTAGCTGAGATTGGATTTTTTTTTAATTGAGGAGTAATTTCTTAGTTATTTTAACACTTTACAGAAAAAGCCAGGTTGGATAAGGCTTGGGGCTGGAAGGTGTCTCTGCCCATGGCAGGGATTGAGCAGTATGAGTTTTAAGTTCCCTTCCAACCCAAACCATTCTGGGATTCTACAACCTTCAAAATTTCCCCTTTTCCCCTCAGGATAAAGCCATTTAAGAGAATAAAGGCCTCTGCAGTAGATAAATGCAGGGCACAGATCCCTCAAGGTCCCAAACACGGATTGTGTCCAGCCCCATGGAAGGACTGACCCGGCACCCAAAGGAATCCAGGCAGCCCCTCCAGCCAGGCCACCTTGCCAAGGTGAAATTGGTGCTTGTGCTGCTGTGCTGGCACCTTCTTGGTGCAAGGCAAGGGAAAAAAAGCTCCATAATTTCCGGATGATTGGAGGAGAAAGTTCAGCTCTTCCATTTCAGCAAAGGGAGTGCAGAGGGTCCAGCCCAAGGGGATGAGGATGGGGTGGCAGCAGGGCTCCATGTGGCTCAGAGGAGCTGAGGAAAGGCAACAAGGAGCCAAAAAGCCAAGGAATGGCCAAGGAACCACTGGAAATTGTGTCAGGGAAAGCAAAGAAAGGCAGCTTGTTGGGCAGGCTGCTGACTGGGAACCTTTTGGAACTGTGAGCAAATAAACCCCGGCCTGTTGTTGGAGTCCCCAGTGGCTCAGGGAAACAGGAGTCTCTTATTTTTTTATGTTGGTTTTTTTTCTTAGCCACACTTTGTAATGAACCAGAGCTACATCAAGGACACAGCAACCTCTACCACAAAGATTATTCCTGGGTGAAAACAACCTGGTCAGACAGGGTAACTTTGCTTTTCAGCACTTCATCAGCTTTTCTTTGCATCTAAATCTTCTCTATTGAATCCAGCACTGCCATTATCCAGCAATCCCCTCTCAGTGCCAGACCTATCGCTCCAAACAAGCATCGCTCCCGCACTCCTGCAGCACCAAAGGCCGAGCAAAAAGCCGCTCTTACAAGTGTTAAATAATGCAAACTTCGCCGGAAAGTTTGGGGTGAATCCCATCGTTTCCTGGCTGCGGCCCAGCCCCTCTGGAGGCTGCTGGGGATGGGGAAAGGCAGAGCACGCCAAGGGTTAAAGGGTGATGTAAATGGAGAGAGACATTCTCAGTGCAAACAAAAGGAGAGTCATGCCCTGAGGATCAGTGGCTGAATATGGGGTAAGGCAGTTCGCGATTCTCTTCTGAAGGAAACATTTTAATTAGCTCAATCCAAAACAGATACAGCCCAGAGAAGGCACCACGAGCAGGAAATGCTTTGTAAATCTCAGAGGACAGTGAGGAGACAACGGCGGTGCTGAGCAATTAAAAACAAGAAAAAAAAAAAGGGAAGAAAAAAGGAGAGCGCCTTTAGGGTTCGGGCTGAGAGGCTCAGGTTTCCTTCCCTGCTCCATCCTGGAGAATTAAATCGGGGTCCTGCTGCACTGGTGCACAGCAGAAAGGAGCTGTTGAACTTGGAGGGGGTGTGGGGATCCCCAAGAACCAAAGGCACCTCAGAGCAGGGGACAGGAGCTCCCGGTG